CTTTACAGGCAAAAAATAAAATAAAAAGAGCAAGATTGCATTTCCTCAAAAAAAAAAATTTTTTTTTTTTAAAGCTGAGTGTGGTAGTACATGCCTCTAATTTCAGTGCTTGGGAGGCAGGTGCAGGCAGGTCTCTGTGAGATCAAAGTCAATCTGGTCTATATAGAGATTTCCAGGCCAGCTAGGGCTACAGGGAGATTCTCTCTCTCTCTCTCTCTCTCTCTCTCTCTCTCTCACACACACACACACACACACACACACACACACACATTTCAAAATACTTTTTAGGGCTGGAGAGATGGCTCAGCAGTTCAGAGCACATATTTCTTGCTATTCAGAGGATTGAAGTTCAATTCCCTGCAACCATATCAGGTAGCAACAACCACCTGTAACTCTAGCTCCTGGGGAGTCAAAGCCTCTGGCTTCTGCCAGCACTTGCACTCATGTGCACATACTTACACACATATACACATAATTAAAAATAAAAAATTTGCCGGGTGTGGTGGCGCACGCCTTTAATCCCAGCACTTGAGAGGCAGAGGCAGGCGGATCTTTGTGAGTTCGAGGCCAGCCTGGTCTACATAGTGAGTTCCAGGACAGCTGGGGCTACAAGGAGACCCTGTCTCAAAAAAAAAAAAAATCTTTTTTTAAATTTAAGCATTCGCTTTGTTTATGTGCATGCCACTGTGCACGTGTGGAGCTCAGAGGACAACTTGTGGGAGTCTGTTCTCTCCTTCTACCATGTGGGTTCCAGAGATGGAAATCAGGTTGTCAGCAAATGCCTTTACCTGCTAAGCCATTTCTGGCCCATAATGCTGTCCATCTATCATAACAGTTACCATATTAAGAGATCTATTTGCTCTGCTCAACTATTAGCTTCTCAAAAAGTGGGACATACTTAAAATCATGTAATCATAACTTCAGAGCAGATATAGTTATTCATGAAGTGCTCCCTAAATTAAGGCTGAAGTAATCTTTCTCAACATACTCTTCCCTTCTGGGCCATCTGGATAGATCTTAGTTCTGTTTGGGAGTTTCTGACATGCCTCAGAGAACCAATTGTTTCCTAAGGCCCTTTGTGATCTCCCTTGGATGGAGGGCCCCCAAGGGACCCAGCCCACAAAGCACTGTTGTAACTCACATGGGCTAACTGCTTTTCCTGTCACCCGTTACTGTTACTATGTCTCAGATGGCCTAATCACACCTTTATGTCCCTTCCACTCTTAACACTCAAGCAACTCCTTATGGCCAAAAACAAAGCTTCCTAAATTTTTAGTTGATGTTAAGTAGTTCAAAAGCTTCTCTGTTTTTCCTGAACAAGTAGTTTAAAAAAGAAATTTATTCCACCATAGAGCTAGGTGGCTTACCAATACCCAGTCTACCTCTAAACCAAAGCTACATTCTGGTCCAGAAATCTGTATACACTGCTCACCTGGGTGGCTCTTCAGTTACTGTTCAGTGAATGAGTACATCTTTCCTAAAACACTCTTAGGAAGCAGGAGCATAATATGTGGGGCTTTATGGCATCCTTCCTCCCAGAGGGCCACTGCATTTCCTTGTTTTCACTGTTTCACACTTCAATTAACTTTCGGTTCTACACATGCTAGGCAAGTACTATACCACTGAACCCCCTTCTAATCGGAAATGTTCTAGGATTTGGGAGTGGGCTGTATGCTGCTTTTCCTAACCTATCTATGCCTCTTTCCCAGAAGGCAAATTTATATCAACACACATAAACAAAGCACAAAAGAGTAAACCTTGTTCTTAGGCAAAGTAAGAGAAGATTGAAGAGTATGATTTCAAGAGCAAAGAGAAAGCCCTCTTCTCTAAGTTTGATGCGGCAACTCCAGCATCAAATGTATGAAATTCTATTCTATATTGCTAATCTCACTTCTTAGCTCGGTTAATATGCAGAAATCTTTAGGAAAAAGATTTTAAATCACTATGTGTTATTTATATCCAGACATATCCTCTATTCTCTTATACTCTCTATCTGAGCCCAGTACCTGTTAGATGTTAATCATGTACTCTACCACTAAGCTACAATCCTAGACCTCAGTTTTTATTTTGCAGTGGTGGATTGGGACAACATCTACTTTGTAGCCTAGACTAGCTTTGAACTCAAGATCCTGCTTTAGCCTCCTGAATATCACAGGCAAATACCACCATGCTGGGCTTCTAGATCCTTTCTTAAAAGTAAGCTTTAAGGGGAAGGTAGAAAAAACACAAAGGAACATGAAGAACAGGACAGGATATGACCAGGGTTTAAAGATGGCAGAGACTAGAGAGGATGAATACATACACACACACATCCCAACAGTTTTTTTCCAAGACTGGCTTTATAGGTGACGGGTGGGGTGGGGAGGTATTAAATTGGTTTCTGCAGGACATTGTACAAAGGCTGAGCATTAGAGAACTTCTAAAAGTCAGTGATGTCAAATTTAATAAGGTAGTATTAGGAAATATCTGTTATACTCTGAGATTTAAAGGAAAACCCATTTCAAATTAAGAGACTTGGGAGCTTCTTGGGTCACTATTGAAAGGCTGGTACAAGCCTTTTAGGGAATCACCACTATCTTCTGAGATAAGGAAGAAACACTGAAATATTGTGAAAATATAAACGAAGATGGACATCTAAAAACTTTCACTTTCGTAGAGCTGCTAATAAGTATCCCAAACAAAATGATTTGCCTTAATGCTTCCTTCCTGGCCTAAACAAGCTTTGTTCATGTATTTGGGCATTTTCTAGGTTACCCATACACAGCTGTAAGTGTAATGAAGAAGGCAAATAACAACCTAGAGCACAACCCTTTGCTTGTTCTGAATTTGATAGAGGAACACAATAAATAACAGAGTATCACCCAAGGGGAAAAACTGTAAGAATAATGAGAGAACAAAATTTAGTGAGAAAATGAAAACAACTGTCTTTAGTAGTGGTACATGCCCCAAAAGATTAGTCTGATTTAATGTCTCTGACCTTTCTTAATGAAATGAGGTATGTGTCGGAGGATTTAGATTTTATACGCTTTTGTACAGCTTAAACACTTAAAAATATGTATATATTACTTTGGTAATTAAGAAATATAGTAACTGGCTGTGGTGGCTCACACCTTTAATCCCAGCACTTGGTAGGCAGAGGCAGGTGGATCTCTGTGAGTTCCAGGCCAGCTAGGGCTACAAGGAGACTGTGTTTCAAAAAGACCACACACACATACACACACACAGAAATATAGTGATAGCTTGGTATAGTGGCACACGCCTTTAATACCAGCACTTGGCAGGTTCAAGACCAGCCTGGTCTAAATATGGAGAACTCTCATACACATTCAGAAAAAGTTAAAAAAAAAAAAGTAGTGATAAAATGAATTGGTATAGTAAAGACAGAGAAGAAAGTACCTTAATGGACAAACCAATAGGCTCCAATCTACGGGAAATTAAAAGGTCAGAGGATGTTTACATACATGGGAGGAAGGGCCTTCTCATTTGTCTGCTATAATAACCCATGTTCTGGGCTGCCAGTCTGGGGACCTGAGTGGGATCCTTGAGATCTATATGGTGGAAGGCAGATACTGAACACCCAAGTTGTCCTCTGACCATCATACATGAGCACACACCCACATGAACACATATATTTTAAAAACTCTTCATTCTCTATGCTCCCCTCTTCCCTAAATACCTCAGGGTTGGACTGAACTAGCTAACCACATTTCCTGAAGAAGTAGACAAAGAACAAGGATGATCCAAACTTCAGTCTCTTGACTCTTCTCCAACCCCTCAATGTACCATCTCACAGTACAGACCTGAGAACTCCATTACCTGTCTAGGAAATACCCAAGCCATAAGTCTCACTGAAGTTTCAGCAACTGCCAAGGGTGAGGGCACACACCTTTAATCACAGTACTGAGACAGAGGCAGGCGGATCCCTGAATTCGAGGCCAGCCTAGTCTGCATAGTGAGTTCCAAGCCAGCTGGGGCTACAGGGAGACCGTGTCTCAAAAATAAACAAAAAATTTTCAGCAACTGTGGTCAAATTTCTTGATGGTCAGGGTTCTCTAACCCCTTTCCTGGCAGATGACAGAATTCCCTAAGTCTCGGGAGCAGTTAAAACGAATATTCACCATAGACCACATTATGAAATGCAAAGGAAGTGGACAAAGCATCCCCCCCAATCAGTTCTTTCACAGGACATAAACCAGACCTCAGTCAAGATCAGCTATGAGGCCAGGACAAAGTGTGTGTGAGGGGTGAGCTCGGAGCTACCCAGAGTCATGGAAAATACAAATTCACTTTTGTCATTACCCCTAAAGTACCAAAAAACTTCAAATCACCACATCTAAACACTAAAGGAACAAAGAACGGGACACTCTCAAGATCCAGAGCCTGCCGTCACCATCATTCCCGGAGCTCCTATAACTGATACCAGGTCCTGCTGCCACTTCCTTAACTACTTTAGTCTTCTAGATCAGTAACGCAGGCTCCCCGTCTTCACTGTGCCGAATCTCCGTCAGCAGCAGCCCCATGTACAATTGCCACTTTGCCTAATAAAGCCTCTCTCGGTCCAGAAGCCTTCCCAGGCCCCGCGACCGGCAGTCTCTGGAGACCCAGCCGCGGCTCCCCTCGGGGCTGGGCGTAGCGCAGACCCCTCCTCAGTCCCGCCGAAGGGGCTTCCCTCCCGGCTGCTGTCCCGGGTCCAGCTCCTCCCTCCTCAGCCTGCTCCAGGACCGAGGCCTGCCCCTGCGCTCACCCGCCCGGAGCCCCCTCGCCGGTCCCGGACAGCCGCAGCCGGAGCCCAGCCGCCTGCCCAACTTCGGGCTCTGCGCCCGGCCATCACCTCCTCAGCGCCCCCACTAGGCCTGCTGGGGCCCGGCCCCGCTTGCCCCTCTCCAGTGGCCAACTCTCCCCTCCCTCGCCTAGGCCCGAACCGCCCCTGCCCTCCGGCAAGGCGGCTCTACTCTCTCCGGCCTCCGACTCTGCCCTCGCGGGCTCCATCACCTCGGTACCTGGGGCTCCGTCTCCCCCGTCGGGCCCAAGCCTGTGTAGAACAGACAAACAGCTGCAGCTCAACCAAACCTCCTGCCCCCTCCTCCCCCCCCTTCTCCTTCTCGCCTAGGCGAGCGCTCCAGCCAATAGGATGCCACTCGCCTGCCGTGCAGGGCGGGCCATACGCGCTCTCATCCGCCAATCTTCTGGAGCAAGGCGGGCTCTTCTGGGGTTGTCACCAACCAGTACGAGCGAGGAGCTGGACACACGGGGCCTCGAACCAATAACTAGCGAGAAGCTTTGAAGACTGACGAGGTGAGGGCCCACTAAAGGGCGAGCTCCCGGAGACAGAGGGCGGAACAGTGCTGACGGGCATATGTATCAGCCAATAAAACCTCGACACCCGTGATACCTCCCCCTCCATGCCTTTTGACTCATAAACATCTAATCAGGTGAGAGACTGAGGCGGGTCAAAAGGGGATTTTAACCAGTACTGGGAAAATTCCGCACTTGAGTGGCAGGCAAGGCGAGGTCCGAAAGGAGCCCCGGAAAGGCGGATCCTACTCGGGTGTGGTGGCGTTCAGTTCTTCTCTAATCTCTCCACTGGGAGGTCCAGGCAGGAAGATTAGGCGTTTAAGGTCATCCTCGACTACACTGTGAGACAAGGTCTCAGTTAAGAAAAATAAAAACATTTTTGGAGCTGGGCGTGGTGGCGCACACCTTTAATCCCAGCACTTGGGAGGTAGAGGCAGGAGTATCTCTTGTGAGTTCAAGGCCAGCCTGGTCTACATAGTGAGTTCCAGGACAGCTGAGGCTACAGCGAGACCCTGTCTCAAAATGACCAAAAAAAGGAAAAATAAAAATATTTTTTTTAAAAAGGCCACTTACTGACTTTCTCCCCTCCCCTGGATTTGTGTGGGCCTGACTCCAGCGTCCCACCCTCCGTGACTCTCCAAAGGACCCGGAGCCTGGGAATTAAAAAAAAATATTTTTGTATGCTTTGCCTGAATGTATATAAGTGCATATATGTCATGCAATGCACGTGGAGGCCAGAAGTGGGTGTTGGATCCCCTAGGGTTAATTAAAGACTTGTTAGTCGCCATGTGGGTGCTGGGAACCAAACCCAGGTCCTCTAGCAAGAGCAGCAACTGATTTTACCCACTGAGCCATCTCTCCAGTCCTGAGCCTGGGCATTTAAGGAACTTTCCTATCGGTTCTAACTCCTTTCAGTGGAGTATCAGAGAACAGGAGTTTTAGAGTGGAATGCCTGTTTTTTTGATGGAGTGAAACCATGGCAATTACAAAAAAAGTAGTTTGAAGATATTAACCTCTTAAATTTCTTCATATAACCAATGTTTTCTAAGTTGTGTGAATGTAAATAAATATTTGGGCAACTCTGCTGGTTTTTTGTTTGTTTGTTGTGGTGCTGAGGATTGAACCCAGGGTCTTTAGGCATGGTATGCCAAAATTCTGCCACTGAGCTACACTGAAGTCCTCTGCTGTTTCTGATATGCAGTAAGAGGAAAGTCACCATGAGAAAGGTGGTGTGGTCTTATAATCCAGCACTAGGGAAACTGAGGTGAGAAAATTTAGAGCTCCAGGCATGCCTGGTTTACATAAAGAAACCTTGTCTAAAAAAGGGGGGCAGGAGGGGCTGGGGAGATGGCTCAACAGCTAAGAACACTGGTTGTTCTTGCAGAAGACCGGGCTCAAATCCCAGAACCTACATGGCAGCTAACAACTGTCTGTAACTCCTGGAACTGGAGATCCGACAGCCTCTTCTGTCCTCCATGGGCATTTCATGACACAGGGGCGCTGACCTACATGCAGGCAATACACACATACACATAAAATAAAAATAAAAGAGCCGGGCATGGTGGCACACGCCTTTAATCCCAGCACTCAGGAGGCAGAGGCAAGTGGATCTCTGTGAGTTCAAGGTCTATATAGTTAGTTCCAGGACAGCTGGGGCTATAGGGAGACCCCCTTGTCTCAAAAGACCAA